AAATCAGATGAATGGTTAGTCATTCAGCATCAATGTTTTCTATTATCTTTAGCTTCATTACTTCTCGCGTTACCGTTTGGATCACATAAAGGCATAACTAAACAGGCATTTAAAAATGTTTATATGGAGCGATTTGGAGAGTAGGTTCTTATAAACATGTGACATTTGGTGCACTCTATCGTAAATTATTCAACTTGTCCATTATCCTGCTCCGAAGTGAATTGAATTCCTTCGTCTACCTTAGTTGAAATCAGGGGTTTGCCGACATTTCACGAAGGGGTACATAACACAAAAGTGTGACAGAAGGTGTAGCTGCTTTACTTAAACAGTGAAGGTCAGCAACGGATATTCAATGAAGAATACTGTAGACTACTAATAACTTGGAGGAATTCTTTACCACTCTGATATATATAAAGTGACCCATGAAGTGTATGGTGCTGTGGCCATTTTCTGGAAGTCGCATGCACTGAATAAAACTGTTGAAATATAAATCAAATGGAAGGTGGGGTGAGTGCTTGTTTCCAGACATAAAAATCAGGTCTGGCGTCAACTACCTCCATCTGTGTGTGAAAGAATGAGTTAACCTGTTGAAAAGGCCATTAAGACCTTCAATATATCTACTACTTCAACTTAATTAAAAACATGCCTGACAGTGAAACGGGTAAAAACACTTGTTCTCCAATAGACATGAGCAATCAGGTATATAACCAGAGAATCGGAGGTGTGGTCACTAACTTCTTACCTACACACAGAAACATAAAAATTACCAAATTCTTAAAAACACATAAAATTTATCTGGTCCAGTTTTTTGAGGGAGTCGGTCATTAGTTTCTCCGCTCTTACATTGAGGTCTTTGAAAACACCAAGAGATTGGAATTTAATTTGATCATTCAAAATACCTTCCGTTTTGTCAACATAATCGGTTTCATCAAGTAAAACTATACCGTAACCTTTATCCGCCTTGCTAATAATTAAGCTTTCGTTGCTTCTAATTTCCCTTAGAGCTTCTCTGTGTTGCTTAGATAACAGACTATTTAATGAATGTTTATTATTCTTGTATTGTAGGCAGCTGTCAACTAGCGTCGTTTTGAACCTAGTTAGTTCATCGTCCGATGATGGGGTAAGATCTGACGTTTAAGAATACAAATTTTCAAACCCTATATCACTGTCTAATTGGTCAACTTTAGGAGCATAATCACGAAATTTGGGACCTAGGGATAACACCTCCAATTGGAACTTATTAAGCACGACACTGGAAAAATTGTGAACATACCGGCCCGCGTCTGACAGAAATTTCTTTTCAAGCTTTTGTCTTTCGACAGATTTGACAAGACTCATCCTTTTATTATTACTTCTGTTTACTGTTACGTTATTACCATATTCAATAAACATCAATTGAAATTCCTGAGGTAAATCATCAACTGAAAATCGTCTTTGTGATATGTTCCTTTCTAGATCATTTATACGAGTTTTAACAGAATCAATCTGATTAACAGCATGTCTTTTGAAGCTCTTAGGATTAGGATAAATCCTCATTCGTCTTAAAGACCTCCTATATAGTTCGGGATAACGTTAGGTTTCTACACATTCTTTTAAAAATCCCAACGATGTTTTCGCTTCAGCGAGCATTGCACTAAACTCCAGATACTCGTTGAGTTCCTTAAATGCAATAGGATCTCCACGAGATTTCAATATATTAAATATTCCCATAGTAAAATTTAGAACAACAGATTTAAAGATATGCTTGACAGTGAAACGGGTAAAAACGCTTGTTATACATTAGACGTATGCAATCAGGTGGTATATAAACAGAGAATCGAAGGTATGGTCACTAACTCGCTACACACACAAGCTACCACATTCTTAAATACACATAAAATTTACCGCTAACCAGCACATTGACTCAACACAATCTCTTGTGCCAGAATTGAAGACTTTGTGTAAGAAATTAATAGTCTACGACAAATAGAATGGGCTCATATTTATTCTGCTCAAATGTACATCACATATATTCTAGGAGAACCCTTTAAAATGAATCGAATTCGCAACAATACGTTCCATAATTAGATCCTTGATGGTCTCGTGTTTCTCACATATACCCAAATAAACTAATTAATGATGCTCAGGAAAATGTACAGATTATTAGAGCACATAATATTAGTAATCAGTGTGCAATATGGAAGTTTTCGACAATCCATCCTTCAAAGGTCTAAGTGAAATGAGCAGTAGATACATGTCAACCTGTTTCCTCTGATCATTCTGCTCAAATAAAAACCCGAAATAAGAAATACTGATTCTTGAGAAGATCGAAATCCTGAACTTTCCATAACTTTACGATCTATGCAATGAATATTGGATTGTTTTCCTTGGATGTCCACTACGAAATTCTTGCTTTCATGCGAATTTCTAGGTGTTGAATTTCATTATCTTAGAATCTTAGGAATGTTTGAATAGTTTGAATAATATAATAAATGCATTTGATGGTTGTCATGCAGCGATAAAATTTACACTTGAAATGGAGAACGAGTCTAGTATTCATTTCCTTATCAAGGAGGGCCAATGGAGCTCTGAATAGATTGACGTATCAAAAGCTGTCACGGAATGGTCAGCTGACAAGCTTCTACAGCCAGGTACCCACTAGTCGAAAACGAAACCTTGTCCGGTCGCTTGCCAGTTGCATTCGGAGTATATGTAGCTTTGATACTGTGGGGGATGAGTGAGTTAAATCTTTCGAGGAAACTCCTAATAGATAATGGATTTTCACCACGTTTGATAGACAAGAATATACATTAAAATCCTATGAAATGTGACCTATCATCCGCACCCAAGAGAATACTGGTGCCAGGTTCAGGGTGATCAAGAATGCCCTGACCCCGGGTGGAGGCTCACCATTACACCTCGGTGGGTTGAAACTCGCGACGGACCCTAATCGGGTGCGCTCGGGCGTGTAGTTTTTGTCAGTGGGTAGGCCTCACCGTCCTCCCTTTAAATATTGTGCCTCGGTGGCACAGTGGTTAGGATTCTCGCCAACCATGCACGTGGTCCAGGGTTCGAGCCCACGCCGACGCACACCTGATATCTATGGTTGGCCTGCGAATTTCGGGCTACCGATATCCACGCTGAAAATTCCATACTTGTCCCAAAAATACGCTGTGGAATCAAACTGTAATCAAAAATAAAAAATAAAATATACTGTACATGCAATTGGTGGATGATGGCTAGCAGTGGAATCCAGGATGCGCATTTCGTCCTATTTGGGACTCGTCAGCTGGATGTACCTGCATTTCTCAGTGAGTGATGATGTTCCCACCGAGGCTCGAACCCAGTACCCATAGTTTCAAACGCCAAAGCGTTATCCACTGGACCACTTGTGCCACGAGAGCCACTTCTTGTGCAACGGGTCATATACGAAATGAGCATCCTGGATTCCACTGCTAGCCACCATCCACCAATTGTATACTAATTAAATACCCAGACATCGTCGAAGCATCTGCACAAGAAGCCGACATGTCAACCTGAGACCGAGCACTTCGGTCCAATCAATCGACGGGAAAATCAAAAATTCAATTCAATACTGTACATGAGCTTGGAATTCAAAGGTTATTTGGCTTCCAACATCATTGAAAGAAGGATTATCACAGTCCTTGAAAAGAACATTCCCTACTGCATCTTTGGGAATAGTCTTTTTCAGTCTACCATTACTGTTCAATAACCTGGAGAACAAGATCACGCTGTAAACCGATTCTACGTGGGTTTATCCATTCACCTGCCCGTGTGGAGCTAGGTATATCAGCCGTTCAACTCGACTTTTGTGCTAGATGGTGGAAGAACACTATCCTGCATGGTTACGAAAAGGTGGAAGTGGAGCAATAAGAAGCGCGATCATTGAACATCTGGCCAATAATGATCATCCTATCTCCATAGCCTCCGCCCTTAAAGTTATCGACAAAGCAAAATGTAATTTACAGAAATCACTAAGCATCCAACTGACAATCTACACACACTTGCTTTTGTTATCTTTACCAATTGGCGAACTGGAAAACGCGAAAATGACACCATGATGAGGAACGATGATTAAGTTGTCATCTATATAAGCTAAGATTTGTTTAAATTCTGGTTTATTGATCCTTTGATTAGGCTATTAACAGCATTAAATACCGAAATGTCAGTAAAAAATAGCAATATCATTTTACTTTTCATTCATTGGGAAATACAAAAACATTCATTTTAATTGAATATGTCCACTATCAACAAGGACGTTGAAGATACTCTCCACAGTTGGTTTGTTCGGTTATTTGTGTTAGAAATTAAAACAAAATTGATCTCTTTAGGATCATGTTACGTCAAACTAATACAGAAATGCCTATAAATTTTTTCTATTACAGCTTGATTCCACACAGTACTTTTGGTGCAAGTATGGAATTTTCAGCATGAAAATCGGTAGCCCAAATTTCGCAGGCCGACCATAGATATCAGGTGTGGAACGGCAGGGGATGGAACCTCGGACCATGTGCATGGTCGGCGAGAGTCCTAACCACTGTGCCACCGACGCACAATGATTATAACTTGATTATCTGATTTCCATAATTTCTGACGATGTTTGCGACTGATCATAGCAGTCTGATGGAACACTTGTATTTATTTTCTGACGCGGTGTTGTTTTTAACTCACGAACCACTTCAATCAAGAAACTCAAGTTAATGAGAAGTGAACTAATCATTAATTCACTGAATTGCAATAATCAATAACCTTCGATTCACGGAATCTTTTCGTCTTTCACATACTTCATTATATCTCTGAATAACGAGGCCACGGATAACCATATCGTCTAATATGACGTTGTGTTGCGTACAAGTACTTAAATATATATTAAGTGAGAATAATTTTGAAAAAAACGTGATACATAAAACAAGACGATTGTGACAAAAGTCAGTGAGTGTGTGTTATATGCTAACAGTAATGGACTATAACCACTCAAATCAATATATCTGCTCTAATCATGTTGTGTGAAGTGAATATGTACGCATATATTTAAGCAAAAATATGCGTAGATTGTTCTATCTTATGCGTTTGAAGTGAGGAGTTACTTCATGTAAGTAAGTGAATAACTCTTGTTGTTTTTTCTGCCTTTCATTTCACGACTGAATTTCAGTGATTTCTTGATTTTAATTTACCAGTTAATCAAGCCTCACTTGGTTTGTTCAATATATTCACATTCTCGATGTGTACTTTAATTGAGAAGGAGACAAAAATTACCTACTCTTGAATAATTCGCGCTTCATTACTCTCAAGTCTATTTGGAGGTAAACATTACTCAGCATCAAAAATAAGATCCGAATTTTAAACTCCAATGTGAAGTGAGTCAGTACTACTCAATATACGGATCAGAGACTTGGCACGTCAAACAAACTACATACATTCATCAACAACTGTCTTCGCTCAATATCCAAGATCAGATGGCCAGGAAATATAAGCAGTAGGGATCTCTGCGAGCGAACCAACTCAGCAGGAACCGATTGTGAAACAAACAGTGAGGAATAAATGGAGGTGGATTGGCCACACTGTGAGAAAAAAAACCCATCAAGTGACATCACTAGACAAGGCATTGCTCGAGTGGAACCCGAAAGGGAAGCGGCGAGTTGGTCGTCATTGCAAGGGTGACTTGTAAAGAGGAGATGAAAGTATGTGAGCAAACTTGGAGCCAGGTAAAAACTCTAGCAGAGAACCGAACCCAATCGAAACGCGCAGCTGAAGCCCTATGTTCCTCTAGGAATTAAAGGAAATAATTAATATAATAAAAAATAATTCGCGCTTAGTTCATAGTAACTGGTGTTGTACAATGTGTGATAACTGCATGTCTGTTAAACTTGCCTTTCACTGAGCTGTGCCATACATCAGACTCGCGTTAGCATGTGAAACCCCGGGTAAATTTAATATTATATTATTGTTTTCTTTAGCTCCTAGAGAAAAATAGGGCTTCAGCCACACGTCTCTATTGCGTGCGGTTGTCCAACAACGTTCCCATCAGCCTACACGTCTGCACACATGCTTTCATCTCCTCTTCATATTTCTTCCTTCATATCACTCTACCCTCGCACTGAAGACCAACTCGCCGCTTCCCTTTCGGGTTCCATTCGAGTGATATTTTTTTCGTTTCAGGTCACTTGATGGTTTGTTTTCTGTGAGTATGGTCAATCCACCTCTATGGCTTTATGCTTGTTTGCTGCACAATTCGATCCTGTCGGATTGGTTGGTTCGCTCATTGCCAGAGATCCATCACTGCTGCTGATCTTTTCTGGCCGGCCAACTGATGTTGAGTAGTAATGAGTGAAGACAGATGGCTGTTGATGAAAGTGTGTGTAGTTTGCCCGAAGTGTCCTTCGTCACGCGCTGGCCAAATCTTTGATCCGCTTAGTAAGTAGCACTAACTGACTTCACATTAGAATTGAAAATCCGGATCTTATTTTTATTGTCATGCTGAGTGTTCTTAACCTCCACACAGACTTGAGGGAAACCCGATAGATATACATGATCGTTTCATAGTTTTTAGTTTTTGTATTTCCATATTTAACAAAGTGATACTAACTCGCTTTCTCATGGGAAATGAAATCAAATGGGCTTCCCTCTTAAAATCCTTTTGACATTTTGAAAAATTAGGTATGATTTTTCCCCATGCTCAAAGTCATGATTTTTCCCTGTTGAAAGTTATGAAGTGGTGTATATCTTCAGTAGAATTGAGTTGTCAGAAGAGTGTAATTCTTCATTAGCAAATAACCAAATTCGTTTCATGCAACCCTTTGAACTGCTTGAAAAGATCTATACAATCACAATTCTTCGCGTTTAGTTTAATAAGAATCAGTTGAGTTCGTGTCGTCTTCTTATCATAGTCAATTTCTTGACAGCGAATGACTTTATGGGAATTATACATTTAAGGGTCGTGAACCACAGAACTTCCACACATGTTTGTGAACAACCAGATTATGACGATGATGATGTTGATGGTGAGGTGTGACCTGCTACTCTTATTCGATGATATAATTTATTGCTTAGACCCTCCTTCCCCTAATCTTTATTATTGTTATTGTTTCCTTGGGTTCCTAGTGGAGCAGAGGGCTTCAACTGCACGTCTCCACTTGCCACTTCTGTCTTCTGCTGTACTTTTCACCTGCATCCATCCATCACATGTTAGTTAGTCCATACTGTTTTAACTCCTCCTCTTCACACGATCTCCTCCATGTCACCCTTGCACTGACGTCCCACTTGCCGCTTCCCTTTCGGCCTGGTTCCACTCGAGCAATGACCCGACGCGCGCGCGATGCCACGCAGCGGCGGCCTCCTCAGTGAGTGTCCAATCCCTTTACACTTTCTCCTGCACATTTGTTGAGCGACTGGTTTTTGTTTAGTTTGCTCCCATAGTTCGTTGTTGGTGATTCTTTCCGGAATAGATTATTGTCTCTCCAAATGATAGTTGGCACCTTCTACATCCGTTTCATCTGCTTTCGTAGATTCCCAAAATTTCTATTCTATATCTTCTCGTTTCCGCGGCTACCTTGGCAGCCTTTCCACTTTCGTACATTGTACGAACATTCCACATTCCCATCCTTATTATTGCTTTCATCGAAAGAAGGGACGTCGGCTGACTGGCTTCCCGAAAGCGTTCGCCATCCTGCGTCATTTCACTCCCCCAGTTCCTGAGAAAAATAAGATTGTTGTTTCTTTATTCTTAAAAAAATTATACTTGTAAAATCTCAGCGAGAATGAAATGAGTAATTCCAACGCTTCTTTCGGCAATCTGTTCCGAACTTCTTCTCACTCAGCGTCCAAATATTTTAGAACTATTCTGTCGGTGCGTTGGTGGCACAGTGGTTAGGACTCTCGCCGACCATGCACATGGTCCGAGGTTCCATCCCCTGCCGTTCCACACCTGATATCTATGGTCGGCCTGCGAAATTTGGGCTACCGATATCCATGCTGAAAATCCCATATCAAAATTCTATACTTGTACCAAAAGTACAGTGTGGAATCAAGCTGTAATCAAAAAAATCTTGACGACAGTTCATTTGAATTATAGTTTATATTTTTAGAATTTCTAACATATTTGTGGGTTGAAGTTTCTGTAGCGATTTGGTTAAGTTTGGCGGCTGAGTTGCTAGCACCACGCTCCAACCCTCCCCTCCCTCTTTATCCGAGCTTAGGACTGGTTAGAAAAACAGCAAGCTAGTAATCTAGGCCCCCCGTCATTTTTGCTTCAATGTATTTCGGCCAGTTGCTTTTATATTTCTGTGACTTGTGCTAACCACATTGTTCCGCAACTGGTTGGTTACTCGTCTATTGTCTCGATTTTTTCATATCCGATCATTAATTTTGTATGCCTGTATCTTGTTTGAAATTGAACCTCTTTTCATAAGTTATTGAAGTGTATCTTCTAGACATTGTTTAATAATGTTGTGTCTCTACTTAAAAAAATTCATGCAACCTCTAATAATACTAATAGCTTCATTCCAAACAGTACCTTTGGCGTATAGTAGTACAGTATTTCATTAAATTTTATCATTATATAGGTAACAATTACCACAGAGCATTTACATTCGTAATATTCTTCAATATAAGAATGAATGTTTTCTATAATTTGGTTTTTCAAGGGTTAGTTTTGTTTTTATGAGTTGATCATGGATTGATCACGGATGTCCCGACTACGACAAGGGTTCGGGTGGCGCTAAATCACGAATTATTAGAAGTTAGAATTGATGAGCCATTGAATCGGGTCCCATTGGCTGAATGTTCTGAAAGCTTTCCTTGTAACACGAGGGTTTCGGGCTTCGAACCCCAGTGGGTGCCTTCTTCCAATGATTCCCAAACAAAGAAGAATAAGCTCTTCAGTACTCATGGGTTTTCAATGGTACTCTAGCTGTTATCAATCCGTGATCAACTCGTAAAAGTATGAATTTAAAATCAGGTGAAGTGAAAACATTAATTTGGTTTTAGTTTTATTATAGCTTGACTTCGCACAGTATTTCTGATACAAGTATGGAATTTTTAGCATGTGATATCGGTAGGCCAAATTTACCAGGCCGACCACTGATATGGGGTGACCATCGGCGGAGGATCGGATCCCGGACAATGTGCATGGTCAGCCAGGGTCCTAACCGCTGTGACACCAACGCACAAGAATATGGTACGTAAAGAAAAAGCAAAATGATAACCATTCATTCATTGTTTCTTAGTAGGTTAGTACTGTCCTGCCTCACACATTCCTCATCACATAAAACGTGTGCCTGCCAAATGAGGTTGTTTTGGAATTTTTATACTTAGTCATCTGAGCATATTGTCTTCTATAATTGCTCTTAGTTCTGCCCACCTGAAGAGAAGAAAGTACAAGGTTTCTTTCTGTGGGAGTAGATGCTCAGGGTCTGATAAGATAAAACTTATCGAAGAACAAAATAATTGAGAAAAGAAGAATATCCTTTTCGATAATTTCCTCTTCTGGCTCTACAAACATATATATGATCACATATATAGAATATTATAGAATAGTAATCAATAACAATATTAGTGGTTTCTAAATAATAATAGTGATTTGTTAAGTAAGTTCACAATTAAATTACAGTTCACTAAAGATGCTTAAATAATAATAATAATATAAAAGCAAATAGACTACCAACAAAAATTAAGGAAATTTCTACAGAACTTTGGGGATCATTCGAACCTAGATGGTCAAGGTAAAGATAATGTCTGAACTAGCTTCTTTTGGACACATAAATTAGGCTTCTTAATATGGATCCCAGCGGCTGGCCTCAGAAATATTTAGTAAGCGGACTCTTAAGGCGAAGTTAAGATTTCCTGGATAACCATTTTCACTAAGCAACCGTTTTATATAATTAAGTTCCTCAACAAGACATCCATACAACAGAATTCGCTGATTTCCTGCAGGAATCCATGTGTCTATCTACAATAGTAATAACCAGCTGGTTTGGCGATATCTCGTTCGCCCAAAAGAAGGCTTTTAGTGCACTTCGTGCTGTAAAAAACTCTTTCTGAAGTAGCCTAGGAATGATTAGGCTGAGGAGAGTGCCACAGACAGATAGGCAGAATACAAGAACCAACAAACTTAGAAAGCAGAGACTGAGTGCCACCAGCTAGTCTTAATTTCCTTACGTACAGCGTTAAATGAAATATCTTACTAGACACTAAGATGATATTCGAAGAAGATGAAAGACAACAGGAAACAGACAGTTCAGTGGTATTCAACATTCGATTTAATTTTAACTTCTGTGCCATATCTGATGATGGTACCGCCTCTTGTGTCGATTTTCAATGAGTACAGTCATTAATTTTTTATGTTCGTACCCTCTTTGAACCTTAACCAGTTAACTTGAATTATATAAGTGTAACTTCTTAACCTTATTTCATAATTTCTTCACTCTATTAACCATAACTTATGTAACTCATGCAAGTATTTGAAAGATTCTGCGGGAAGGCTGTAAACCAGAAACTTCATGTATTTATTCCCCTTGATGAATTTGAATCAAGCAAGGACAACAGTGTGGATTGTGCAGAATAAGAAGATGGTACCATCACTGTTTATTTCGTTGGCTTCTCATCAGCTCAGCTGCTTACAGTATGCAAATTTTTCATGATGTCAGTGGACAGAAAGTTCCACAATTAGTGAACAGTGCTCAGAAAATCACGCTAATATAGTTTTTACACAGGCAGTTCAGTTTTAAACAAAATAAATGTGTAAATAAGATGGTAAGGGAGTTACATAGTAAAGATTAGAGATGGGTAAGATGCTGAGTGACTAATGAATTAGGTAACAATGTACTGAGTTCAACTCAAATCAGAGAAACAAGAGCAAAGTAGAACTAAACTGTGCCAACTCCGACTATGTTTACGAATTTATGTGTTTCTGCGGGAGCATTTACATTGGGAGAATATAAAAAAGAACACACCTCCGATTTTCTGAACGTGTGACGAATATCGTACGTCTCAAGGGAACAAACTCTTATTATAGTGCTATTACTTGACATCTCCCCGATACGCGTCATGAACTCGGAATCCCGAAATCCTTTAAAATTATCAATAGACAAAGGATCTCAATTCTCCTCAAGTTTGTCGAAGCAATTTCTATCAAACACTTGAAACCAGATTTATGTGTTCAGAAAGAAGCAATTATTAGTCTTTCCTTGCCCTGGTAACTGGATGTCTTTATTCTCTCATTTGATTACTTAATCTTTGGCTCTAACCTCACCTCTCTGATTTAGTGTAATTTAGCTGGAGTCTTGTTTCTATGATTTGAGTTGAACTCAGTACATTGTTACCTAATTCATTAGTCACTCAGCATCTTACCCATCTCTAATCTTTACTATGTAACTCCCTTACCATCTTATTTACACATTTATTTTGTTTAAAATTGAACTGCCTGTGTAAAAACTATATTAGCGTGATTTTCTGAGCACTGTTCACTAATTGTGGAACTTTCTGTCCACTGACATCATGAGAAATTTTCATGTTGTAAGCAGCTGAGCTGATGAGAAGCCAACGAAATAAACAGTGATGGTACCATCTTCTTATTCTGCACAATCCACACTGTCGTTCTTGCTTGATTCAAATTCATGCAAGCATGTTAAAGTTTCTTGGTACATAGCCATGCTTAACTTTTAATTAGTACACAGCAGAAGAGAAAACATTGAAATAAATGATGGCTGCCTTATCTTATTCTGCACACGCACTTGCTTCGGCTTTATTTAACCTTAAAGCTGCCCTTGAAGACATCATTTCCGTGTAAAGATATCATGGATTCTTAAGACGAGAGATTTTATCTACTGATGTTTTACACTTAGCCAAGTATATCGAATTTTGTTCTTATTGGAAGATGACTTTTGGAAGTTGTTTTCCAGGAACTATCTATTTGAAAGTAAATAAAGTTTTATTAAGTTCTGCTTCTTTCCTGTGGAGACCTCAGCAACAGAATAACAAATTCCTTTATATTGGGACTCACAAGTAGGTGTAAAAATTGGATGTCATTCATGAACCGTCGTATTCTCAATAACCAACGTTAGAATTCATAAGATTCTCTTCCAGCAATACATCTCTCCAAGTTCATCATTTCTTCATGCAATTCTTCCCATTAATAAACTTGAACAAAGCAAGAACAGCGCCCACCCTAATATTAAGTTTACAATGGAGTATGAAAAAGAAGAGAAGTTCCATTTCCTGGACTTGAGTATCCAACGAGATGAAGACGGCAAAATCATAAGATATATACACAGAAAAGAGACCTGGAGGGCGATTTATCTTAACTTCAAAAGCTTCTGCCTCATAAGTTACAAAAAGGGATTGGTGAGAACATTATTTGACCGTGTAAGGAAACTGTGTTCAGAAGAAAAGATTGAGGAAGAGCTATCCATTGTGGAGAAATGCCTATGTGACAACGGTTACCCAGAAAAGTTCATTTACAAGTATGGGAGACGTCATGTTGAAAAAGTGAAAAGCAGCACAGTAGATAAAAAGCCTATCTTTCTGCAGCTTACATTCAAAGGTGATGATACTGCTAGTAGAATAAGATGCAGACTGAACGCTGCCATGAAGAGAACATATCCAGCCGCCAAGCTTGTATCTGTTTATCAAACAACTAGTTGTTCGATAAACAATCAAAAGTGGACAAATACCCACCTCATGTTATCTACAACTGTGTCGACCAATTTACATGTACGTGCCAAAGCACATACATTGGAAGAATAGAGAGAAAGGTTAGTGTCCGCATTTATGAACACATACCAAAGAACCTGAGACTGAAAGGTCCAAAAGCATAAAACAGTGCGATTGCTCGTCATCTATTGGACACTGGTCATATTGTAGACAACCTGAAGTTGTTCAGAATAATCAACAAGCAAAAGAAACCCAGCTTGCTACGCTTTGCAGAAGCGATTGCCATCAAACGACTTAAACCACCAAATCAATGTATGCAGAAAGAGACAGTGGTGAATCTTGCACTGCCCTGGTGATGACAAAAAATATACAACTTTCATGAAGCCCTATTTTCATGTTTAGAAAACTCTACTCTCTCATCTAAACATGACTCACCCTACCTTGTTTCTTTTCTTTCGTTTTTCTATTGGCTATTAGATAAGATGCCTTCTTTAGTTACGTAATCTACTTTTTTGTCATGCTCCTTCTAGCTAAACCTTGTTTCTAAACACACACCACACATATGTACACAACCTTGTTTTTGTTTCCAAGCCTAATTGTCTAATTATTCTATAAATATTTTGATGTGGTTTTGTTCTCTGAGCTGGATGGTTAGTTCGCGACGCTTTCATCACCCTACTGGGTGACATCTTCAGCGCATACTTCAATTTGTTGAAGTGGGCTTTTGGATTTCTCCACGAGTTTATTAATCATCTCTCCTGGTGACCATGGACGTGATTGGTTGTTTGTGTGTGTTTCCACACCTTCTAGGTTACTTGTATTAGAACCGGTTGTTTCTTTGACTTGGTTCCAATACAAGTAACCTAGGAGGTGTGGAAACACACACAAACAACCAATCACGTCCATGGTCACCAGGAGAGATGATTAATAAACTCGTGGAGAAATCCAAAAGCCCACTTCAACAAATTGAAGTATGCGCTGAAGATGTCACCCAGCAGGGGGATGAAAGCTTCGCGAACTAACCATCCAGCTCAGAGAACAAAACCACATCAAAATCATCCACCTGAGCTACAAATCTTCTCTATCATATTCTATAAATAGTCAGTGTTTTTAACTCCTAATCAGTTAAATCATTCCGCACTAAGGTTACTTTTAATTCCTACCAGTGAAGTACTCCTTGTGATCGTGGAAAAGTATGTTCATATCTTTAATGTAATTCATATTTTTTATCGTTCAGGTTGTAACCAGTTGAGAAGTATCCTCGAAATAATAATAAAAGATGAGCTCGTATTATCCTCGTACAATTGTCGTTCTTGCTTTGTTTAAGTTCATCATTTCTATTTTGACCTGATAAAATTGTTCCGATCGTTTTGTATTTTTTTTTCTTATTCTCCGTTACAAATTTCAGTGAAACAGAAAATGTCGCATTTTGATGCATTCCGTGTGTATTTGACTTACAAGAGTCAAGAAAATCAAAAAGTGACTACATTTTCCAACATTTGGGTAAGGAATATCTCATTCGTCATTCGTCTAACCACCACTTCTTTTTTTTACTTTAGTTCTTCTTCAATTTGTTTATCATGATACTTACAACACTCACCGCTGTTGTCTTCTTCAGGAAAGTGTATGTTTGGACGAATTCAACTTGATTTATTTATTTATTAAATACAATCTTTATTTGCAGAGAAATTGCTTCTGAATTCTTCATGAGACATGAGTATATCGTACTTGCTATTTTGTAAGTTTCCCTTGTTATCATAACATTTTCATCATTGAATCAATTTTCATGTTTATCAATATGTTGAACTGACCAGAGTTTTGATGGAGAACTTACATGTTCTACAGGATATTTAGTCTAAATGTAAGGCGGAGGGAGACATTGAATACGTCTTGACCTTATCAGTTAAAGCGTTACAAAGTGATATTTTTGACTGTGAACATCACTGTTGGAAAATGTTCGATTCTGGTTACTCAGTTTTACCTTCTATGAGTGTTGCGTGTTCACATCCGAAGAATTACTCAGTCTTCAGTCTCTCCATCCGCTAAACACTCTTGTCACTTTGAAAAGTACTTCTTCTCAGGCGTGAACCATATAACAGCCTTTAAAATTCATTTTATAGCGTTATAAAACTGTATCCAACTATTTAATAAAGCTGTAAAAATGTTTTATCAGAGATACCCTTGATGTTGTTCACGTGGTGTAGACATATGTCGATGTAGATATGATGAAGAAGAATTGTAAGCTCAAGTGGATGATTTTGATGTAGTTGTGTTCTCTGAGCTAGCTAAATGGTTTATTTGCGAGGCTTTCATTGTCTCATACTAGACAACATCTTCAGCGCATACTTCAATATATAGAAGTGAGCATTTAGATTCCTGCAAGAGTTCATCTGTCTTCTCTCCTGGTCACCTGACTTTAAACATGATTGCTTGTTTTTGCGTATTTTTACACTGTCTATGCTATTTGTATCGCAACTAATTGTTTCCTTGGTTTGAACTTTAACCATTTGTGCGTGAGATTTCCTTCTTACCAGTTGGTAAATTTTGTCGATGTCGATGCGTCTATTAATTGACGATTCATTGGAATACAAGGAAGCCTTCTTGGTGTTTCCTCTGTCTAATATTTAAATTTTCGTTGTCTCAGTCGAATTGATGTCCGTAGTTGTCCATATGAAGTGATATAAGAGAGTGAATGTCATGTATTTTGATGGCTAGTTTATGTTTATGCATGTGAAGACGAAGGGCACTTCCACTTTGGCCAATACAGGGTTTTTCACAGTTGTTACAATTGATCTTCTAGGTGATGTTGGTTTTATCTTCTTTCGTCGTTGAGTTTTCGGTTGACATAAAGCCAGTTGAGTGAAGTCATTAAGTTGGTTTGTGCGCGACGTCAATTCCTAAAGGTTTGAAGAGTCTTGCAGTGATTTCTGAGATGTTATATATATATATATATATATATGGTAGGGCAACTTTCATTTGTGCTTTCCTTGAACGCTTTCAATTAGGTAGGGTCGCTTCAGGGTATTCTCCTTTTGATGAAATTTTATGGATATCCATTCTTTAGTGAAGACATTCATGAGATACATTTCTTAAATTTTCTTTAAGGTGGGAGTGCTGCGTTATTGGATTGTTGGTGTTCTAATTCAATATTTGATCTGTGTGAGTTGATTTTCTTTAAACTTGAGTTTCTCATTCCCCTGTGGTTGTTCGCTTGACTAAGACGTCTAAACATAGGAATTTGTTCTCGAATTCCTCTTCTTTTGTGAGTTTGATGTCGTTGAAGACGTTGTTGATAAAGAAATTAATAATATTAATAATATTGAGGGAGCTGTGCTAAATTCAGGCTTCAAACAGGTACCAATGTAGGAATAATGTTGTATCGGTGTGTCCTGCATACAAATTAAATTTTTTTTACCGTATAACTGCACTCATTTACTAAGATCCAATTAGATTTTTATGCCTACAGTGAAAACAGACAACTGGTTGAGTGTTTCACGGGGTGATGATGAATATTTTGTTTATGACGCAGACATTAAATAAATCGACCTACACTAGTACGTAGAAACTGTAAAATTTGAAACATCAGATATTGGGAGAATACCTATCTGAATATCTTCTGCTGTACCTAATTCAATGTTATTTTTAATAGTTGTGATGTCTTTTTAGATCACTCGGGGTCTTTCTACTACTTATCCTGCTATTCGTGACGAAAATTCATTCGGACCCCATCACTGCGCCTCTGATTCTCAGAACTGTGGTATGTAACAATTTTAAATAATTTTATAATGCTACACTTTTTCGTATTTTGTGATTGTTTAACACTAACTAATAGCTATAATTGTATATATATAATTGTATATAGTGATAGTGATGCTACTGCCAGCGTTCTTTTGTTTTTGTTGTTGTTGCTGCCGCCCTTCCTACTGTGAATTTTTCTTCTTCTACCGGTGTTTTTCTGACTGCTTTATTCTTTATTTTCCTGATTCTAAGGGGAAGAACTCAGAATGCCGCTCCTCTGTAAACTATACATTAATGTAACAACCCTCTCCTCAGGTGTGAGGCTATCACCCTCACCCTGTAAAGGAAGCTGCTACAGATGCTTCAGTACAATGAGTCTCCTTGCGACGAAAGAAAAATTGTGTAGGGGGTGGGTGTGGAACGCACGCGCTATATATGAGACTGATAAAGCTGCCCAGATCGCACGCGAGACCAAAAGATATCGTTTTCAAATTCTTTTTAGGAACATGTGAAAACACGTGGAATGGAATTAAACTCACCAAAGTGTCCACAGAAGAGTAAATGATATACTCTGATCAGCCAGAATAAAACCACATGCTGATCGAGGGCATGGCTATCATGAAATCACCAACGGCAATGAAGCTCTAATACAATTGAAGGTTATGTCACCCATGAAAACGACCGCAATACTCAACTTTAAAGGAAGTAAAGTGTCAGTTACACAATGATATGCACCCAGAAACAATGCAGACCTTGAAAAGAAAGAAGGGTCCTACAGACAACTACAGGCAACAATGGAAAATACTCATGTCTGTGACAATAGAATTCAAAAATCTGACATGAATGCTCAACTGGGACCAGAAAACACAGAAAGAGAAATCATCGTTGGCAGAGAAGCACTTGGAGAGGTAGATGAAAATGGTGAAACCTTCGCAGACCGCCGTGTCTTCAACGAATTAATGATTGTTAGCAGCGTATACAAACACAAAGATATCCAAAAGGCTACATGATTGTTGCCAGGCGGCTGAACCAGTAACTAAACTGACTTCATCTCAATGCTGCCCAAAGAAGTGGAGACGCAGCTTACTGGACACAAAATTAAGAAGAGGAGCAGACGTTGGCTCAGACCAGCATCTCGTCCAAGGAACACTCCAATTCAAACTAAAAACTTTCAAAGGAACAGGAGCTGCAGACAAACCACCAGCCAAGTTCAGTACTCAAAAAATGAAGGATCAAGACACAAAGGACGTCTACATTGCAATCACAAGGAAAAGGTGGAGACGCAAATTAACACAAGCGAAGAGACCAGCGTGGTAAAATACTGAAAGCGGTGTAGAGTCGAACCTGTATGGAAGTACCGGGCAAAAAGAAGAGACAGGAAAAATAGTGGCCCACTACGGACACATGGAGACTAACAGATGAGAAAATGATGGTGAAACGAAAGATTATCTAGTACATCGATGAGCAACAAAAATAGGAGTTGACTGCAAGCTACAATATGCTGAACAAAAGAGTAAAGAAGAGTGCGAGGGAAGACAAAAGAAAATATTATGAAACCATGCTAAGTGAAGCAGAACAAGCTACAGACAAAGGAGACCTCGCTACACTCTTCCAAACAATCGAGTTTATGTCGGCGAAAAGTGGAACACAGATTAAGCCAGTGAAGGATGACAATGGAAAGCCAATCATCAAAGAGGTGGAGCAAAGGAAACACTTCAGATGGCTTCTAAATCGACCGCCACCTACATCGCGCCCAATAATACCAACAGTGAAATCAGAAATACCAGTAAACATGAACCCCCCAACGAAAACAGAAGTCCTGAAAGCAATCAAGATGCTTAAACTGGAAAGGCAGCAGAACAAGACGGAATCCCAGCAAAAGCTTTGAAAATGGATTCATAGACATCAATGGATTTGACGACACCACTACTAAGGAAGGTGTGGAAAGAGGGCAAGGTACCCGGGGATTGGAAGAACGGATACTTATTCAAACTGCCAAAGAAATGAAACTCAAGTCAATGCAAGAATTGGAGCGGAATTATGCTCCTGTCCATCCCAAGCAAAATACTAAGCCGCATCATCCTGGAGAGAATCAAACAAGCCAACCTGGATGAAAAACTTCGACCGGAACAGGCCAGATTCAGGAGGAACAAATCATGTATTGATCAAATCGCCACACTACGGATCATCATTGAACAAAGCTTGGAATCGCAGTCAGCTCTCTCTATCTTGACTTCACTTACTCTGTAAAGGCATCAGAGAGTGCAGTGTCGATTAAGAGGTGATTTGACAACTACTTCGCTACTAGGGACTGTCGCTTACAATCATGCATTTCATCCAACAGTCGTATGACAATGCTGCATGCCAATTAACTCACAAGAATCCCTCGAAATACAGACTGGAGAAAGACAAGCCGCCTGGCTAGATACCTGCTATTTATGACTGAGGTAGACTGGATATTGTTACAGACAGTGAGCAGCGAGAAAACAGGCCTAAAATGGACCTACGCAAAAAGCGTTGGGGTTCTGGACCTCGCCGATGTGATATATGTCTGATTTCCCAAAAACTGGAAGAAATGCGAGTGAATAACATCAAATTGGCAGAGGGATCGTCAAAGATAGGCCTTCAGGTGAACATACAGAAAACAGAAGTATGCGATGAATATTCCTGGCCAACAGCAACATTAACAACAGACAACAACCAGCCAGCATAAATGGGAGAAATCTCAAAGAAGCAATCTCCTTCACCTAACTACCCACCTATTTACGTACCTGGGAAGCATTGTTTTAACTACAGGCAGACGGAACTGATGAGGATATCAAAACGGGTATTGGGAAAGCAAGACAAGCTATGATTGCTCTCAAGTCTACGTGGAAATCGACAACACTCAGCATGAAAAATAAGGCCCGGGTTTTCAAATCTGAAGTGAAGTCAGTGCTACTGTACAGATAAGAGACTTGGCACCGCATCAAGCAGGGCTCTTCGAACAAACTATACACCTTCATTGACAGCTGTTTTCGCTCAATACCACTCAAGATCAGATGGCCGATTAGAGAAGATTAGCAACAACGAGGGATTATTGATATACGTATAAAACTTGGGAACTGTGGTAGAGTATAACTCCATTATCGTTAAGATTTTATTTTGATAAATCACACAGTGTTGTACAGTAATATTAACTGATGACGTTTTGAGCACAAACTATTGCCATTCATAATAACATCAAGTCAGCCACACAACTCTTTTCTTTCATTTATATACATGTGTAAAGTCGATTAGATATTGGCGAGAGAAAAGTCGTGTGAGTAACTTGATATGATTATAAGCAATAGTTTGTGCTCGAAACGTCATCAGTTAATGTTCCTGTACAACACTGTGTGATTTATCAAAATAAAATCTTAATCATAATGGAACAAGGAGGGACATCTGAGAGCCAACCAACCAGGAACCAATTGTCCGAAAAAATCCAGGAAGGAATGGAAGTGGGTTGGTCATACTCTGAGGAAACAAATCATAAAATGACATCACACGCCAAGTCATCGCTCGAGTGGAACTCGAATAGGAAGCAGCGAGTCGATCGTCACTGCAAGGGTGGGGTGGCGTGGAGAAGGTGATTTGAAGAGGAGAGGGAAGCATATGGACAGACGTGTAGCCAGATGTAAACGTTGGTAGAGAATCGAATGCAATCGAGACGTTTGAATAAAGTCCTATGATCCTCTTGGAATTATAGGAAACAATAATAATCATAATACACTGAATCGATTTTCTATGTCTTCTGTGTTTTCTGACTTTTTTGTTACTGCCACCAGTGACTCGAATTGATGTGCTTAAAACGACCCAATCCAATCAAATGAATTGCAACATCTTGTGTAAACATGATGGTCGAAGTAGATATCCTAATACGCTCACCATCTTCATCACAAGGCAGAAACGACTAAAACCACCGGAAATGTTGACTGTTTTGTTGTGACGTTAGTTGGTTATTTTTAGCTTTTACTAGAATTTTTAATGTTATTTATTTCATTCTGGTGTGAATAGAGAAATTCTGTAAATAAAAGGTATGTAGAATATGATTTATTAGATGGCAATTATCTAACCATGATTAATTTTCATTTCTCTGTTTTCTTTGTCACAGCTTGTCCTGTGGTCTGTGGCTTTCGCTGCTGTATTCAATCCTGTTGAATTTCCATGTGGAGTGATATCTCTGATTATAACATCACTGATTACACTCATTATTATAGTGTTGGCTTTGAGATTGCCACCGCTGAATCGGAAAGGGGTTGTTTTCTTCGTGGCTTTGGCACTCATTCTTGCTCTTATTGCAGCAATTGGAAACGTTATGTGTTACTTGAGCACAAAAGAGTTCATTAAATTGGAAAATGTAAGGAAATTCGCATGTTCTTACCTCAACAGTTTCCATTGAACTAGTATAAAATACTGAATAATTAAATTTGCTGGCCATTCATCTGGCTTGGACTCAAGTTCGTTGCCACGTGCCCGGACATTATTTCAATCATTTCATTAGGAATTGTAGGAGTAATCGATGTGCTGTGTCGATTCCAGATAAACTAACAACATTGTGTCCTCGGTGTCTACACCTCCGGAAAACGTCATAGTGTTTTCTAGTAGAAGGAGGTGGGAATCCTGAGGTTAACACATTTTGAGAAACCTTAAAATGAATTCATATCAGCATGTTTGATAACTGTCTCTCATCCAGCAATGTCGTTAGTATTTCATCATGAGCTGACATTAGTTAGAGAACCATTGGAAAACCTGGGAGTACTGGCCAGCTATTTCGTCCTAGTTTGGGACTCTTCATCAATGCGCACCTACAGGACATTGGCTAGGGGTCGCGCTATGTCGTGAATTTTCAGAAGTTAGAATTCATGGGCCATTGGATCAGGTTCCAGTGGCTTAATGGTATACGAGCTCGCCTTGTAACCTTAGTCTTCAGTCCGGATCCCGGTGGGCGCGGACTGCTGAAGTGTCCCAAACTACGACGGGAGAAACAGATTTTCCAATGGTTCTCTAAGTATTCTCAGCTCATGATGAAATCCTGTAACCAATCAAATCCCTACAACCTTCCACTTGAATATCCTTTGTAATTTCGGAGGCCTTATAAGTCCTGATCCCTGTTCCGCCAAATAAATGTGTGTCTAAATTCAGACGGTGTCTATTCTGACAGGACTTCACATAATCTAATTATATGCAGTAAAATACTTGAATTAATTCATTCTAGAATTAACCGGGCTTTTTTCCTTCATTCTTAGAATCTGATATTCTGTATCCCTGGAACAGTTTACACTGGATTATTTATAGCTTTTGTAAGTTCACGATTTTATCAATACTTTCAAGACAATTGTCTTTGGTATATAAAATTATGTATAGCGGATTGGGTGGGTAATCGATATCAGAAGAAAGTATGCATACATCGTGAAATACATGGAATAATACAGAGTTCAAGTTTGTATTGATGAATTGCCAGCGCCTCCACCATACACAAAAGCCGAAACCTGACGCCCTTTGTACCATTTGGCTTCACTTTGTAGATGATCTTGAAAGACGACTATGGTGGACCTATGTGGTCTGAGTTCACCAAATGCTCGAGAATTGAGCTAGTAATTGTCTTACATTTTCCCTTTGCTAATCATGCCAGATAATGTTCAGAGATGCATTTAGAAAGTGTGCGCTTTGTGCAGCCAATATAACTAGCTTTACACGAGCAGGTGGATTTATAAACACACATGGAGGCGGCCCAAAGCGGCAGTCATCTTTCAAGATCATCTACAAAGTGAAGCCAAATGGTACAAAGGGCGTCAGGTTTCGGCTTTTGTGTATGGCGGAGGCGCTGGCAATTCATCATTACAACCATGAACTCTGTATACAGAAAACGTTTTTCCAGTCTCTTATTCAGCCTTGGTCTTGACACGGAATAATAATTTTAAAGTTTCTCACGACTGTAATATGCAATTGTGTTTTAGCTTCACTGGAAACTATTTTGGCGGAATCTGAAATGAAAATATGTCATCGTCATATTATATACGAATAAACGTTTAGCTAACATCAGTCTGCGTTGCTTTCAAAATAGTAAATAGTAAACAGTTAATTTTCTGGGAGTGTTTCTGCAGACATTTGTCAAACAGGGGAGATGAAAACAGGTGCCACGAATATCAGACACACTTGGGAGATACTTATTAGTCACGAAATCATTCTACCATAACTTTAACCATTGCTTACCGCAAAAGTTCGGCGTGGGGTGAGAAAACCTACATGAAAAATTCAATCAAGCTGCTACAGAAACTTTGACGCACATGAAAAACATGAAAAAAGTCAAAAGCATATAAAAGAGAAACTTATTCTTCTCTGGAATCAGAGAGGAGAAATGGCACAGTTGGGCTGATGAAACGCCACATTCAGGAACCCAGTCAGTCAGCCAATTTGTTTTATCTCTGAGTGAAAGCAAGAATAGGAATGAGGACATGAAATGTCCGCACAATGTACCACATTGGAAAGACTACCTAGGTAGTCAAATATATAAGATATAGCATAGAAGTTATGGCAGTCCACGAGAGTAGATGGAATGGATGTGGACTGTCGAAACTGTTAACTGAAGAGTCAGTAATTCACTCCAATGTGGTCAACCAGACGACAACCACTGACACGCTAAGGCAGTGAGAGCGTATCATAATGTCACCAACAGTAGCCGCAGCCGAAATGTAGTGGGAACCCTCCCCCCAGTATTATGACAGCGAGATGCAGCTCAAAAGAAACAAAGGTTACCATTATCCAATGTCACGCTCAGTGCTACAAACAAAGGGGAAAAGGAGAAAAAGGAATATTTTGACAGACAACTACAAACAGTAATGGACAACATCCAAAATGGTGACAGCAAAATCCTTGTTGGAGATATGAATGTCAGGCGAACTGGAAGCAGATATTACAGGAAGAAAACTCATCAAGAATCTGAAATCTCTGACTTCGTGAAATGAATGAGAACGGGGAACTATTGTCAGACTTCAGCGCTTTGAGTTATTTGGTAATCGGAGCCAACGTGTTCCAGCACAAAAATATACACAAAGCAACATGGATTTCGTATGATCAACACATCACAAACCAGATAGACTTCATCTCAATGCTGCTCAGTGAAGTGGAGATGCAGACAGTCTGCCGGACACAATATCGAGAAGAGGAGCAGATTTGGGCTCAGACCACTATATAGATAGTTCAAGGGACCTTCAAGGTGAAGCTGAAATCCCTCAAACAACTGGAGATAGACCTCTGTAATTCAAGTTCACCATTCAGAAACTGAACTGAAGGACAAAACTAAAAGCGATGCCTTCACTACAGATCAAATGAGATCAAAGCTGGAGACACTAAATGGCATCAGTGAGGAATTCTGCTTGGAAAAAACATCAGAGATAACTCTGAGGATGTGATTTTCAAGGAAACCTACGCAACTGTTATGGAGAGAAAGAAAGCAATGGAATGACTGTCAATGGATACATGGGAGCTATGTGGGGAGAGGACAATGGTGAAAGAGAAGGTGATTCAATGCAAACATGGATAAATGAAGGAGAAGCTGAGTTCAATGTACACCTTACACACTGCATAGAGGAGTGAAGAAGAGTGCCAGGAAAGACAAATGACAATTCCACAACGCAACCGCTGGCAGCTGAAGCAGAACAGGGAGGCGGACCGCAGGTAAAAGGGACCTCAGAACATTATATCAGATAACTAGGTCTCTATCCGGTAAGTAATGAACCCAGATGATGAAATCAATCAAAGATGTCCAAGGGAAACTGATTAATAAGGTTGAGGAACAAATAAAACAATGAATAGGCTAATCACTTCAAGGACTCTTGGGTTGATCATCACCCTCGAATCGCCCAGAAATACCACTACCGCCAACAGCATGCACAGAACTACCTGCCAGTAGACAGCAATCCTCAAATGAAAGCAGAAATCCAGAATCCAATTCCGTCCAGGAAAGCAGCAAGAACAGACAGAAATCACTACGCCCCAAAGCTTTGGAAACGGCCGCAGAGACTGCAGCAGATGTGCTCACGCCATTACTGCAAAAGATTTGGAAGGAAGAAAAGGTACCAACTAATTTGAAGAAAGGCTGTCTACCTCATCAAGTCGTCAAAGAAGGACAACTTAGTTATTCCTATGCAAGACGTGGTGTGGAATCATGCCCTTGTCCACGCCAAGTAAAATACCATGTCACATCATCCTGCAGAGAGAATAAAAAATGCACTGGATACAGAACTCTGCCCAATCAACCAAAAGAAGGGAAATCATCTGCTGATCAAATTGCAACTCTACGCATCGTCATCACGGGACAAAGTAAGGAATGTCAGTCAACTCTGTCTCTACCTCAACATCTTTCATCGACTTCAAAAAGGCCTTCACCAGACAATGTTGACAGGGGTGTAATTTGGAAACTACTCCAACACTGAGGCATACTGTTCCCAATTGTTTTTATCAAACTCATGTAGTATCTATATAACAGTACCAAGTGTCAGGTGATCCACCACTGGAAACTCAGCGAGGCATTCCAAATGAATACAGGAGTAAGACAAGGCTACCTGCCGATTATCACTGATGATATTCTTAATTGTAGTGGACTGGATTTTGCTCCAGGCTACGGATTTAGTGCAAGGAGACAGCAGTACGCTGGACCACTGATAATAAGACTCTTGAAGATCTGTATTTCGAAGATGATACATGTCTAGTGTCACATAAACTTCAAGAATTAATGGCGAAAACCAACAAACTGGCTATTGAAGTAAAGTACGGAAGATAGGACTGCAGGTGAACGTAGAGAAAACGAAGGTAATTAAAATAACGAGACAACACCAAAAACAACAACAACAACCAACACCAGTCACCATTAACGGGAAAGATTCACTTGTCTAAAAAGCATCATCTCAAGGGCAGTTGAAAGGGATGAAGATGTCAAAACCAATCAGAGTTGGAAAGGTGAGATACTCCTTCAACAACATAAAACCGATTCGGAACTCTTCTGCAATCAACATAAGGAACAAGATGCTCATTTTCAACAGCTATGTCAAGTTGGTCCTTCTCTAGGGGTCATGAAATTCTAGTGATTGTCACGAAAAGGATTTCTAACAGCCTGTTGCGGACTTTCACAAACAGCTACCTTCGCTGGCTTCATCATGAAGATCAGATGGCCAACGAGAAAGAATAAGTAAAAAGAAACCCAACAGGCAAGAGCCGATTGCTCAATATATATGGAGGAGAAGGACTAGACCTATATTGAGGAGACCGTCGAATGACATCGCGAGCAATACAGGCTGTTACTAAAGTGGAATCCAAATCAGAACCGACTAATGAGTAGCCCTAGGGTGTGAAAGTGACATGGGGGAGATCTCGCAATTTGGAGGAGATGAGAGTTTATGGGCAATTGTGGACCCAATTGAAGTGGATGGCAGAAAACAGAAGTGTTGCTGAAGCCTTATGTTCCATCTGGAACTCAAGGGAATAATTATAACATACTACTGCAAAAGTAAACCTAAAATGTTCTGGAAGATGGTAATGAATCTTCAAATATTGCATCAGTGTGGTATTTACCACATGCACTAAGCTTTAAAATGTGCATGTTGACAGCAAGACCTTATTGACATACAAAATGAATTTTTAAAACTTCTTAAAAGTAAACTTCTCGTGCTTTCTGTTCGACTACTTTCCATCTTTTTCACATTTCAGGTGATGTTCATCTGTCTCAGTGTCCGACGATGGATAATGCCGATATTTTATCCTAATTCCATAGAATTTATTCTATCCTTCACTGTTTGGTTTTTAATGATAAGCCTATTCATAGAAGTGTATACAGGATTCATAACAGAAGAGATTAAACTCAATGCAACCATAATTAAGGCGACCTGTTTAAACATAAGTTTACCAAAAATTTCTCCTTTTTCATGTCGTGTTTACAATTAAACAAAACCAAATACCCGGATTCTTCTTCCATCTGTGAGTTTAACTGAATTATTTCGCCTAATTCGTATCATATTGTCAATGATTTCAGATTTCCAATTGTCTAATTCAATGAACCTGTTGTCTTTCTCTGATTTCATGTGTACTCAACGTGTTCATTCATTATGTTCTATTCATTGTGAAAATCTCAATAACAAGTGGGATTATTTTCGAATTGTTGTTTTTTTTCGAACTGTGGTGTGTCTTAAATGTTCTTTGAAAAATGTGATAAATATATATCAAGATTATTTTCCTTACATCGGAAAATGACAAATACATTTTGAAAGTGTGGAAACGGTTTTTTTTGAGCATCTGCGATTATTTTTTATTTCCTTGACACAACACTTATCAAACAATTATACCACAAAAATAAACACTCAGAAGGATTATTTTGTTTTATAGTCAAGTACGCTGTATAGGTAGATATAAGTATTTGCAGTACTATCATCTACCCATGTGTGTTCAAAATTTTCAGTCTGTGCTAAGCGATGTCCAAGGAAGCATCTATGAATCAAAGGAAGTCCCATCGGGATGTTGTTAGTCATTGATTATCTCAGTATATAAGAAGGGAGATAAGTCTTCCTGTGATAATCATAGGAGGATTAGCTTGACTAATATGGTTGGTTTCTAAAGTTATATGCTCAATAATAATACGTAGACTAAGCGGTGCTCACGAGAAACAAACACGAGAGAACCAGGCAGGCTTTATACCATGGGAGGGTGTATTGGTCATATCTTCACCCTTCCATAGACTCTGAAACGGAAAATAGGCATACTTAGTGGCGTCCAACAATCGTTATATTTCTTGACCTAAAGGCAGCATTCGATTCTGTCGACCGAGAAGTACTGTGGCGATGCTTGGCTGTAAAACGAGTGCCGAGAAAATTCATTGCACTGATCAAGGCACCCTTCTCAAGCTCATGCAATCAGCCAGGTGAGAGTTTACGACGAATTTTCATGGAAAGTGGTGACAACTAATTATGTCCACCATGGATGGATGCCCACTATCCCCATTTCCGTTCACTTTCATCAGAGATGTACTTATGGACTTAAACCTAACTCACTTCGGAGACGCAGGGATTGACTGGTTACCAGGGAATAATCTCGTTGACTTAGAATATGCAAATGATATATTCCTTGTAGTTGAAGACGCTAATAAAATAAAGCAGAATCTTCTGGACACCTTGAGCTGCAATCAACGAATGTTTGGCAGCGATTCGCTCCCGTCAAATGTAAGATGATGCTACAGGACTTGACTACATTGACGCCTAGCCTAGAAATAGAGAGTGAAGTGGTTGAGCGTGATACCTGGCCATTGAGGGTGAAAGACACGAAAAGACTGGCTAGCATTCTTTGACCGTAGGTGCCTGCGTTCTATCGCGCGTGTGTAGTCGTAGGTGTAATAGGCTGAGCAATACTGAGGTTAGGTTTCGATTGTTAGGTGAGGAGGGAGGGGAAATCAATAGATGAGGCTGTGAAGTTAAATCTATTGAGATGTGTTACGCATGCTGTATGCCTAGCCATAGCCTTCCTCTACGGGCAACGTTGCCTGACATAGGATGGATCAGGTTGAAAAGGAGAAAGTTAGTGCAAGTCAAACTGAAACATGTCTTCATCAGTCAATGAAATCCACAACAGTTAGTTTAAGTCAACGACGTGGGAAAATGTAGACTTCCTGGTTGGGGTCGTCGGGACGGTAAACACTGATGGCTGGAGAAAATTGGTGATATGGATCAAAATCGTTGTTCTCAAAGGCTGGCGTAGACGCATCCACTCCTTTTGGCTTGCAATATCCAATAAAACTTTACGGTTCTTCGGCATTACTATTCTTATTGCCTTATATCTCTCTTTACTGTCTCTATTTAACGTTTCATTCTACTTTCTTCTTTTTCTTTGGTTTTTATGTGTTGAGTGAAGTGTGACGACTCGAACTGCTGCACATCGGTGCAAAGTTCTATGTTGAAACCAGTCCAGTCAGTCAGTCAACCTGTTGTCGCCTTCACTCTACATTAAAATCATATGGAGAATTTTTCTATATCAGTTTGGCGTTAAGCAACAGCTACAACTAGGTTACCTCAGTGAAAAAACTTTGTAATTCTCTGCAGATAAGGCGCAATGAAACCGGTACAGACAATTTCGGCAATAAGAACAGGTGAAAACCACATTCCACTGAAAAATGTCATTGAGTATATGAAAACGGAAGTAGTAAAAACGCTTAATTTTATATAACAACAACTAACGCATACTTTACAAAACGTCAGATGAGCATTACAAACTAGGCGGAGCAAAAGACCATGTATAATGGTTGCTAACTGACATAAAGATATTATATAATCCATCAGCGTTAATTTCAATAATAATGTAGGAAGATATGCGTCCCATCCTACAATTGTTGCGTAGCATCCTAATCTTCATATTCCCGAGTTCTAACATTTTATCTAGGAGGAGACTTAAAGCTTCACCATGTATTCATGAGGCTCAGGTGACGCAATAAAATCCACCACAGCGAAAAAAATCTTCTCTATCATTTTGAAATTGAATAACCAATTAAAATTGAACAAAGAAAAAAGAAACATTGGCGCAGAATAATCTGGATCCATTTTATTTCACCGGTTCTCATCAGCTGCGTACAAGCTAAATTCTTTAATAAAATAAAAAAGTGAACAGTTTAAACAAACTTTTGTCCATTAGACTGCATATTGTCAGAAACATCACAGTGAAATAAGGCGTTGCGATTCACAAGCTCAAAAGATGTACAATCGCATTTATACAGATTGTTTTACTTGGATACAATTATTATTTGTTTAATTCCACATAGTAACGAAGGTGATAATAATTTTTAACTTGATATGAAAGTTTGAATGTACGGATATAGATCACAAGGGGCTTCAAAATAAGATTTTATAGGATTAGAAAATAGTTACAATGTATGCAAAAATTACTATTTGATAACTGGAGAAGCCCTCACAATATGCATCGAGAAGCCGGAGCTGTGTATTCAAAAGAAATTAGTCCAACCTCTACAACCACCATGGACCTAGCTTAGTATGTTCCCTTTTGCTTCTCTTCCTCGCCTGTTTTCGTTCTCGCTTTTCTTTTTGAGCATTTTGTCGTTCGCCGTGTGTCTGATCCTTAGTCCCTCAGTCTTCATTAGATCCACCTAATGTTCTTCAGTTATAAAAACAGTTATTTTAAGTTTGTTTCCATGCTCCTCCTGATGACACTTGGAGTCCGTTTAGAATAATCATTTTACAATTATATTCTAATCCTGTGTAATTTTTTGTTTCTATGCCACTTGTAATCTATATTCACACCTCCTAACTAACATTTCAAGTTGAAAACATTTGATTTCAATTTGCTTCCATGCTCATTTTGTTCACACCTGTAATTCGTTCTATCCCTGCGTTTCTTAGCCTCTTGTAATTCATATCAAGTTGAAGACAATTATCACCTTCTTCTTCTTGTTATTATTATTGCATCCTTTAGTTCCTAGAGGAACATAGGGCTTCAGCTGCGCACCGCCATTGCCTTCTGTTTTCTGCCAACTTTTTCACCCAGCTCCGGCTCTGTCCACATGCTTTCATCTCCTCCTCCAAGTCACGCTTGGACGACCGACTCGCCGCTTCCCTTTCGGGTTCCACCCGAGGGCTTGTCCAGTGATGTCACTTGATGGTTTTCTCAGAGTATGTCCAATCCATCTCCATTTCTTCCTGCCTATTTGCTGCACAATCGATTGCTGGCTGGTTGGTTCGCTCATTGCCAGAGATCCCTGTTGCTGATCTTTTCTGGCCGGCCATCTGATGTTGAGTGGTATTGAGCGAAGACAACTGTTAATGAAGGTCTGAAGTTTGTTTGAGCTGCCCTTGATGACGCGCTAGCCAAGTCGTGATCCGTATTGTGAGTAGCAATGACTGACTTCACATTGGAGTTGAAAATCCGGATCTTATTTTTGATGCTGAGTGCTGTTGACCTCCACACATACTTGAGAGTATTGAAAGCCTGTCTTGCTTTCGCGATTCTTGCTTTGATATCCTCGTCAGTTCCACCCGTAGTTGAAACGATGCTTTCCAGGCAGGTAAAGGAGGTCGTTTCCTCCCATTTATACTGATTGTTGTCTGTTGTTATTGTTGCTGTTGGCGTTGGCCAGGAATCTTCATCACCTCTGTTTTTTCTGTGTTCACCTGAAGTCCTAATTTTGATGCTTCTTCTGCCAACTTGTTGCTTTTCACTTGCATATCTTCCAGTTTGTGTGAAAGCAGACATATATAATCGGCGAAGTTCACATCCTCCAAGTCTTTTGCGTGAGTTAATTTTATGCCTGTTCCCTCGTTGGTTGCCGTTGTCTGTCGCATTATCCAATCAATTGCAATCAGGAAGATCATTGGTGATAGTAGACAGCCTTGCCTCACTCCCGTCCTCACTTCGAAGGCTTCCGTAAGTTTCCCGTTGTGGATTACTTGGCATGCAGCATTGTCGTATAACTGTTGGATGAGATGTATAATTGTCGATGGGACCCCGTAGTAGCGAAGTAGTTGCCAAATGACCTCTCGATCGACGCTGCTGTCGAAGGCCTTTTCAAAGTCGATGAAGTTGAGATAGAGAGGTGACTGCCATTCCAAGCTTTGTTCAATGATGATCCGTAGAGTGGCGATTTGATCAATACATGATTTGTTTCTCCTGAATCCGGCCTGTTCAGGACGAAGTTTTTCATCTAGGGCTTGTTTGATTCTCTCCAGGATGATGCGACTTAGTATTTTCCTTGGAATGGACAGAAGCATAATTCCACGCCAGTTTTTACATTGACTTAAGTCTCCTTTCTTTGGTTGTTTGAATAAGTATCCGTTCTTCCAATCCTCGGGTACTTTGCCCTCTTTCCACACCTTCTCCAGCAGTGGCGTCATCAAGTCCGCTGTTGTCTCTGGGTCTATTTTCAAAGCTTCTGCTGGGATTCCATCTGGTCCTGGTGCTTTCCCAGCTTTTAGCATCTTGATTGCATTCAGGACTTCTGATTTCGTTGGGGGTTCATGTTCACTGGTAGTTCTGCTTCCGTTGTTGGTATTGTTGGGCGCGTTGTAGGTGGCGGACGATTTAGAAGTCTTTTGAAGTGTTCACCCAGTGCTTTCTCTGTTCCACCTCTTTGGTGATTGACTTTCCATTGTCGTCCTTTATTGGCTTAATCTGTGTCGAACGTTTGCCCGATAGGTGCCTAGTTGTTTGGTAGAGTGTGGCGAGGTCTCCTTTGCCTGCAGCTTGTTCTGCTTCGTTTGCCATGGTTTCATAATATTTTCTTTTGTCTTCCCTGGCACTCTT